CCCCCCCATATCAGCCCCCCCATATCAGGGGGGGGGGGACCCCAAAAAAAAGCACCCCCCCCCCCACACACACACCAGGCAGGAGGCAGCCCCCAAGGTGAGGAGCACCCAAATGGAGTTCCCCAATCCCACACCTTGGGGGCACCCCTCAAATCCTCCCCCCCCACCCCTGGGCCGTACCTGACACCGAGACCTTCATGATGGCCTCCAGTGGGCGGTTGTTGTCCAGGGCCCGGCTGAGGCGCAGCTCGCCCGTGCTGGGGTCCAGCAGCACCAGGTTGAGCTCGTTGCCCTGCTCGAAGGCGTAGGTGAGGGTGTCGGAGACGTCGGGGTCGTGGGCCGGGATGCGGCCGATGACGCCGCTGGGGAAGCTGCCCGAGTGGTTGGTGACGTAGTTGTTGAAGAGGATCTCAAAGTTCTTCAGCTGGGGGCTGTTGTCGTTGGTGTCGCGCAGGCGGACGTGCACGGTGGCCCGGCTCACCAGCGGGGCCGAGGTGGCCTGCACCACAATGACGTACTCCGCCTTGGCCTCGTAGTCCAGGTCGGCCAGCGCCGTGAGCTCGCCGGAGAAGATGTCCAGCTGGAAGACCTCAGGGATGTTGCCCTCCACGATCTGGTACATGATCTGGGCGTTGGTGCCCTCGTCGGGGTCGGTGGCCGTGATGCGGGCCACCACCAGTCCAATGGGACTGTTCTCCTCCACAAAGATGTCAAACTCGTCCCGCTCAAAGACGGGCGGGTTATCGTTGACGTCCAGCACCGTCACCTGGATCTCCACAGGCGTCCGCTTGGCCGGGACACCCTTGTCCACAGCATAGGCCCGCAAGGTGTAGAGCGGGACATTCTCCCGGTCCAAGCGCCGCAGCGTGCGGACGATGCCCGAGGTGGACTCAATGATGAAGTCACCTTCACCATCATCGCCGCCCTGGAAGGTGTAGAAGACCCTGCCATTGAGCCCTGAGTCGCGGTCGGTGGCAGAGACCTGGAGGACGCTGGTGAAGGCCGGCACGTCCTCGTACACAGAGCCCTGGTAGCCGTCGCGGAGGAACTGTGGGGCGTTGTCATTGACGTCGCTCACCAGGATCTCCAGGTAGGTGGTGTCGGACTTCTGCGGGATGCCGTTGTCCCGCGCTGTGATGGCCAGCGTGTAGGACACCTGGTCCTCGTAGTCCAGTTCCATCTGGGTGGTGACAGCACCCGTGTCGGGGTCGATCCTGAACTGGGGGATGCTGTCCTCCATCAGGTAGGTGATGCGGGCATTCTCGCCCGTGTCCTCATCCGTCGCGCTGATGACCACTACTGTGGTGCCCACAGGCCGGTCCTCGTTGATGTTGACAGTGTAGTGGGAGCTCTGGAAGACGGGCCGGTGCGTGTTGGCATCCGTGACGTTTACGATGACCTGGGCCGTGTCCTGGCGGGTGCCGTCGGAGGCGGCGATGGTGAGCAGGTACTGACGCTCCAGCTTGTAGTCCAGGGGCAGGGCGAGGGAGATGAGGCCGCCGCCGCTCTGGCTGGGGGTG